CAATGTGCTCTGCTACATAAATCCCCAGAGCTCCATACCGGTCATACAATTTCCTCTTCTGTTCGTTAGCTAGTATAGAATGTGCTCTATTGACTTCTTTGAACTACAATTTTGTGTTTTCAAGAAATATACACTATACTTTTTCAGAAGCCTCAGGATCTATTGGGTTTTTATCCGGGTGATATTTTAATGCGAGCTGAGAGAATATTAAAATAAGATGAACGTACTTTACGATAGGATTTTTTGATTTCCTCAGCTGTTGCTTTCTTATCTACTTCTAGAATAGCATATAAGTTGATATTTTCTTTCCTATAATATCAACATCAGTTTTGATTCCAACATACGTAGATTTCTTGCTGCTTTTACTATTAGAACCACTGCCCATTGAAGGATCAGTAGGCATTGCCCTGTTGGTGCTGTTCACATGCTCAAGGCCACATCTTGAGATGCCGCTCAAAAGGTCAAATGGTTCAAATTGTTCGAATGATTCAAATGGTTCGAATAGTTGAGGACGAAATAGAAGAAGCTTCCGCTTAACAGGCTTCCGTGTCTAGTAGCAGGGGATCACCAATACCCCCAGGCAGGAACCAAGGTATATCGACGATAATAGAAGAAAAAATGGAAATCGGTAAATCACAGTAAGATATTATCCTTAGTCCTTAAGAATATGTCATGTTGCCTCTTAAAGGACTCCTGGAAAGTCTCTTGGACTAGTCTAGACGGCAGCGAACCCCAGCATTTGGCAACTCTTAAGGAGTAGAAGTTGTGTCTACAGTCCGTTCTGCCAAGTTGTGTCTCCAGTTTCTGGGTGTTACCCCTTAGATTAGTGTTGGAACTAAGCTTATGTAGGTGTTTAAGAGGGTGTCCAGAAGTGTTAAGGATACTGCAATCCATTAGAAGGTCACTTCTAAGACGCCTATACTCTAATGGGTAAAAGATAAGTGGTTGGAGGCGCTCTTCATGAGGTTTAAATTTGAGTCCTCGAATTGATTTCGTGGCTCGCCGTTGCATACGCTCCAGAGTGTCCTTATCCTTTTGGAGTGAGGGAGGAAATACTGTGTTTCCGTACTCTGAATGGGGACGGATAAAACTATTGAAGATTATATGGAAAGTTCTTCCGTCAAACTGGCCAAAAATGCGCTTCAATGTTATCAGCGCAAGGTTTGCTCGGAAGGCATTTTTGTCACAGTTAGAGTAAGACTACAAATCGTGGGTATCAGCACTCCTCAATCTTTTCAACCTGGAATACTTCTAGATAGGAGTTTCTTAAGTTGTAACTGTAGTCTGCAACATGTCGCGGATGGACTACGTTACACTTTGAAGTGTTGTCGCCTACCCAACTATGAAGTCGAGTCAGATCCTCCTGATGTGGCGGCATATCCTCTTGATTGCGTATCTCTCTCCAAAGTTTCACGCCATTGGCAAAAAGTAATACGTCCGAAGTTACCTGTTGAGGAAGATCATTTATGTAGATCAAGAAGAGAAGAGGCCCTAGTACTGAGCCCTGGGGGACCGCACTAGGACATTCCGTAGCCTGAGATAAAGTGGAATTAACCCTGACCTTAAAATGTCGATTTTTCAGGTATGAAGTGAGCCAATCGATGAGAGGTGGTCTGATACCCAATCATTTGAGATTGTTGATAAGACATGTATGGTAAATTATGTCAACCTTCCCCTTGCGATCAAGGATGCTTGTCCATCTATCCACCACAGTCAGCCGGTTGGTTATAGAAGAACGACTTCTCCTGAAACCATGCTGTTGGGGTGAAAAGAAGTGTAAGGATAATAAATGGTCGTGTATGCCGTCACATCAGGGACTTCATAATTTTTTAAGGTATTGAGAGAAGGGCCACCGGACGGTAGCTTGAAGGTTCGCTGCGTCGACCTCCTTTGAAAATTGACGTGACGTGAACCAGCTTTCGAATCTCCGCTAGTTTGCCTCAGCTTAGCGAGTGTGAGAACACCGCTGAACGGTGCTGCCGGGATTGAAGCTGTTTCCCTCAGTATAGCGAATGAACCATATCCGGGCAAGAAGAAGTGTCTTTTTTTAGGTGCTACAGTTTCCGGTACATCAAGTCAGAGCCTAGGTTCACTTCGGAAAGTCCTGTGTAGTTGCAGATGAAGCTCTCATCAGTATAGTTGATGTGAGTCGGTCGAAATATCCGAGAGTACTGTTCAATCGGAAGGTCGGCGGTGTCACCGTCGTTACAAGTCAGGCCATTAGCATCTAGGTGTTAGGAAACTCCAGTTTTGGTTTGTCGAAGAGAGGCTGCATAACGGAATAAGCTTTTCGGATTAGAGACAAATTTATCCATAAGCTTTATCTGGTACTGAAGCCTGTCTTCTCTTATAGCCTTTGTGCATATGTTCCTTATATATTTATGTTGCCTGTACGCGCCGATATTATCAGTTCGTTTGTATTCTGCCAAATTGTGCGTTTTGCGGCTTAGCAAACGAAGAGTGCGGTTCTTGATGACTGTAGGTGGCTTGTAGATTTTGGGGACCGTTTGAGGAATTGACTGCTTTGTAGCACATAAAAGCGTGTGCAGTAAGAAGTCCCAATGAGCATCCACATCAATTTGAGGGTGAACATCCTAATCCACCTGTTGTAGATAGTTCTGTAGAAGTGACACATTCAACCGTTTGAAATTCCAGTGCAAGTTAATGGTGGGATATCTTAACTCGGTTTTGCTGACGAAACTGAAAGCTATAGCGGCGTGATCGCTTTTTCCCAGGGGAGCCAGGATTGAGAGGTTGTCCACAAGGATTCTTCATTTGTAAATACACAGTCTAAGCGCGATGGTGCCTGACTATCTCTCCAACGAGTTGCTGACTACATTTTCGTATAATCCCAAGTCCTCAATGAGGTTGGGGAATCGAGCTTTAATTGAGTTTTCACCTCCAATATACATACGTTCCGCGGAGTTGACTCTGAAAAGATTGAAGTCCCCTAGAATCAGAATATGAGTGAAAACGAGACGAGTAGAGCAGGATAGTCCTTCCAGCATACGACTGTCATACTCGATGTCGGCAGTGGGCTTCTTATATATGACTCCGACTAGACACCTCGAAGTAGTAGGCAATCTTACAGAGCACCATATGGATTCCTCAAGATTGTTAAACTCGAGGTTATGAACTTGGTGTACCTCCGGGCATGATCGTATGTGTAAGACTACTCCACTCCCAATTCCTGTTTTTCCGTCGTTGCGAAACAAAGACATACCAGGTATTGCTAACTCCGGACCCGTAAACTGAGGAGATATCTAAGTTTCAGATATTCCTATCAGATGAGCCTTATCAGCATTGCTAAGTTCACGTAGCTCATCCATTTTATTTGAGAAACTCGCAGCGTTCATGTACAAGCAGTTTTTGCTTTCAATTTAAACGCGTGATCTTCTCCTTTCTGTTTGTTTGGATGAGCGTTACGTGAATGGACAGGTAGCCTACCTATACAAGGTTTTCTAAGTTGATAGCCCTGCCTTTTAGACGTTTTTTTATCAAGACGGTCCACAGGTGGAATGGTCAGCTACGACTTGCCTCTGTGCTTGATCCTGGCGTCATGTGTCCTATACGCATGCATATGGATTACAGTTGGCAGCCGACGTCTGTTGGCACGAAATGCTTCCAGAGTTGCAGCTGCCATATGGGAGGGTGGGAAAGTTGTCTTCATTAGTCGGGGTCTAGAATCTCCATCCTTCCATCCATCCATCCTTCTTGGATAGTCTCGTCACTTGTTGAGTCAGTATGTTTTTGAGCTTCAAGGATTGCTTGATGAATTTCCATTCCCTAATATCAGAGTTTGCTTGATTAGGGTTCGTGTTTTCCGGTACACCTTGTACAATGATATGTCTTCCGCGGAAAAACGTCTCGCGGTATTCCTTAGAGATGTTCCGGATGACATTGCGCTCGGAGTACGGTATGTCGGGCAGTATTCTTACGTTCCCATCGGATTTCAGTAAATGACTCGCTAGCAAGACATCCTCTACGTCGGTAGCATTAGTGAGTGTTATACGAAGTAACGTTGAGTGATCTTGATACTAAGATTCCTTTCCCTGAGTGAGCCGTGTGACTATCGAAAGCTCTATTCTAGGAAGTCCGAGTTTCTTGTTCAATTCACCTCAGAGCATCCTGTCATTTTTGTCCTGCAGACTGGGAAGAAAGTCAGGGTTGTCTTTGGGGTTCATGATTATGAGAGAGTCATCGCGAACCGTTATTGTTTTCCCGGGTTTTCCGGTGCGTCCAGGCTCAGCACCTTGTTGTTTGGAGTTCGAAGCACGTTTATGAATCCAAGGCTCTTTGATGACCGGACGGACATTCTTGGGGGTTGACTGTGCGACCAAATCACCAGCTGATTTCCATACAAAACCAGGGATGTTCAACTTAGACGGTGACGCCTGGTCCTTTTTGGCTCACCTACAGAGTTTTTGGGAGCCACTGTTGCATTCAAGGACCCTGAGCTGGGAGAACCGAGTTTACTGAGGGAGTCGATTACCGTCGACGTGATGATGGTGCTGAGTTTCAACATGTCATCATTGGTGCCAATGCATGTTCCATCGATGGTAGACCTGTCGACATCCCTCTTGGTTTCATTGCGCGTCTCTTTATGATTGTGATTTTGCAAGTTTGCTGACAACTTATCCCTCAGACCTGTCAATGATGTTACTCAGCAAAACTTCAGCATCCGTGTTGCACCCGACACATATCCACTTATGATCGGATTTGCTGAGTCTGTTGTAAGCAGTTGCTGTGAGATCTGTGCACGCTTCGTGAAACCAACCTTTGCAGTTGTTGCACTGCATGTCAGATGTAACAGCAAAACGGCATCCAGGTCATTTGCATAAATTTTTCATAACTATATTGACGTAACTTATTTTATAGATGCTAGTAAAAGCATAAGACCGTTAAAAATACACTAAAAAGCACACTTAAAACGGACGAAAATGGATAAAAACAGTTGAGATAAACTGAACTAGCCTTTACGTGAAGAAGTGAAAAAACGAATAGTATGAATAATAATAATCACAATTTATTCTCAAATAACAGTTTGTTACATGAGGTATGCCAGTTTACAGGCAAGATCAAATTGTTACAAATGATACAATATCCACTGTAGTAAATTACACAGCTGGGTTGATAATTTATAACATATGAATGTAGATGGTTTTAATCAGTATCACAGTTGGCGCGCTTCACGAAAGTTGCGTTGCGAATGTGCAACTGATGGTCAAGAGTAGGTCTATTGAAGGTGGGAACTTCTAAATGTCGCAACCTTATGTCCCTTTGGAATGTCTAAGGCTTTGAGGATGGTGCAGGATAAAATCTTTCGTTCCATATCACAAGGGAGCTGAAAGAGGGAGCAAGTAAAAGAAAACACGAGGGACAGAGTAGCCAATATTCACGAAGGAATGTTTAAGGTATGATTACTCAGTCTTATTTTCTTTTATTAAG